AGGATGTCCCGGTCATAGTTGGGGTATGGCGCCTGACGGGCAAAGCACTCATCGCGGGCAGGGCTAGGAGGGTGGTGGCAACAGGAGTGGTGGTGGGTCTTTATAGCCTGTTCCCGATCACAGTATCCATCAAGGGCATCCTCCCACTGTGGGCCAGAGAAAGGGAAGTCAGATACCTGCACACTTGGTCCCTTCTCTTCTGACCCTCTGCTCCCCTTACTTCCCTATGCTATGAGATGAGGGACCTGGCCACAGGTGCCTAAAGGGAAGGGCAAAGAACCAGAGGGCAAGGATTTGGCAGCTGTGGATGTACGGTGTTGGGGAGGCAGAAGGATGGAAGCACAAATGAGGCTTGGAGCTGACCACAGGAGATGAGCTGGGATGGTAGACAAGGGGGTCAGATAAACCAGAGCTGGACGGATGGGTGGCACATGGGTACATGTGTAGGATCACGGGTGGATGAGGCCAGGAGTACAGGATGAAGGCTCAAGATGAACAGACTTAGATGACCAATACAATGGATGGATGGACACTTGCAAGAAGATGAACGGGCAGACGTGCTCACATGGGGAGGCGCATGGATGAACGGACCAGCAGGATCAGAGGTCGGAGACAGGCAGGCAGGCAGACAGGCTCTTGGGACTGGGACACCCACTTACAGCCTTCCATGTACAGGTGTGGTTGTTTCCCTGCCGACAGCAGCGCTGAAACTCCCCCTCTAGCTGGATCAATGTCTGCAGCTGTCTTTGGATGGGGTCAGTAGCTGGGAGGTTGCGTGGCACAGAACGGAAGCGTCTTAGGTGGCAGATGTTCTTGATGTTGTCCAGTGTGGGTACCCCAGGGGGGAAAGGCAGCTCAGGGCCCGAGGAAATACCAGGCTGGTGGCTGGGGCAGGCCCGGAGCTGGTAGTGTGGCCGGGGGGCTTCCTCCTGGAAGCAGGAGAATCGAGCCTCCCCCTGCTGTTTGCAGCACCGGTGGGGTCGGGTCTTGACCGAGAACTCGGCCTCACAGAATCGTGTCATTGCGTCCTCCCACTAGAGCGAGAGGGATGGATCAGCCCAGCAGCCCATTGTCCACATTCCTGTCTTCCTCCCAGGTTCCAGAAAAGGACCCTGGACAGGTAGATAAGAAAGACACAGAGGCTGTCCTCTGCCCTCCCAGCACACTGGGGAGGCCCAAGGGAGGGCCAAGAAAAGGGATCTGAGTTTCCTACCTACCCAGACCTAGGCCTCTAGTCCTTCAAACACACACATACCGTCTGGAGGTTAAAAGACACCCCTGGCATCAAGAGCCCAATCCTTACCACAAGTTTTGCACAGTCCAAGCGGTTTGTGTGGCTGTGACAGCGGCAGCAGCGGGAATATCTAGTCTCCAGCAAATTGAGGGTTTCACCCTGGCGAGTAAGGTGGGAGAAGCCAGACTGTGGCAGGTTCCAGGGGCCATATACCACACGCTGACGATTAGGAAGGCAGATCTGGTCCACGTTGTCTGGAGAAGGCTGTCCAGGGGGGAAGCCATCCAGCCGGTGGCCCCAGCCCCCTCGGGGTCGGCCCTGTTGGCAGTGTTGGGCTGGATTCCAAGACTCAGGCTCAGGAGAGCTCCAGTCCATGGGAGGAGCTGGCTTTTCTAGAACAGGAAAAACACCATGGAAAAGGGAATGAGTGGGGGGGCAGAGAAAGTCTGAATGAGCTGGGAGGATTAAAGGAAATTGGGGTTGAGGAGAAAGGGTTGGGAAGATACGGGGGGGAGGGAGGAAAGACATAGAAATGAACTGGTGGCCTTTACCTTCAGAATGACTGATGGAAAGGAAAGAGAACTGGGGCAAGAAACATGTCACCTTTATAGCCCCTACAAGACAGACCAGCTCCTGCCCTCCCTCCCCAGGATCCTGAGCGCTAAAGCAGAGGGATGGACAGACCAGACAGGAGCTGTCACTCACCCTCTCTCTGCTTAGATGGGAAGGTCATTTCCTCTTGAAGTGGGAAAGGTGGGTCTACTGGGATAGAAGGGGATGTGTAAGCAGAAGCCAAGTTGGGATGGGCTCGAAGAGGGGGACCTGGCCAGTTACCACTCATGAAGAGGACGTCAGTACAGAAGCAAGTGAAAATAAATGCTACTTTTATGCCATTTAATCTCATAACTTTATAAAATAGAACGTATTTCCCCATTTTTACAGATGAGGAAATTAAGGCTTGGAGAGGTGACTTACCCAAACTTACACAGCTAGTGAGGGGCAGAGCCTACAAAGCCCATGCCCGTCAGGCAGGAGGTAAAGAGGAGAGGGAGTCACTTACTTTCCTCCTGTTCAACAGGGACCTGGGGACGGGGCAGCTCTTCTTGGGGGATGGCTTCCTGAGGGAGAGGGGGATCCACTACAAGACAGGAATGAAGGCACGAAGAAGAAAGGATCAGACTGAGGTCAGTAAGATGGTTGTGGGCTGAGAGGGAGGAAATGGGCAAGAACTCACCTTTCTTTTCCACAGGGAGCTGGCGAGGGGGCAGCTCCTCCTCAGGAGCACGGACAGCTTCTAGAGAGGGAAGGGGCTGCACTACAGAAGGGGAAGTGTGTGAGCAGACCACCCCTTCTTCTAATCAGGGCAAGGGGTGGGCAGGGCCTTCTCCCGCTCCCCACCTGGAGAATAGGAAGTGATCCAGACTAGAAACCTGGGAGGGGTAACTGGAAGGGGTGTGAGGGTGCGTGCTGGACTTACCTTCACTCTGTCCCACAGAGTGAAAGCCATGCTGAGGGGTGGCAGGGTGATCCAAGGAGAGGGCTTGGGTCCGGGGTGGGGAGGGGGGTGCTGCATAGCCAACTAGAGGTAAGAGGGACATGGTCAGAATTGAGCTTCTCCTGGTCCCCCATCCTATGCTCCCCCACACTCTTACCTTCTTGAATGTGATAGGCAAGGGGCTCAGGCCCCATCTCCCTCTTCCCTGGAGCCTTGGAGCCTGGGAGATGAAGGGTGAATCATGGGTGGTTTTGAGGAGCCTTTTCTTGGCTCCAAGCACAGGATACAAGGACAGTAGATGTCAAGAGTGTAGACAAGATGACTAAGACACCAGAAGCCCTTCTGTATTCCTCCTATCCCTGGTCTCCGGATGGATCCACTCCACCCAAACTGACCTAGGCATGACCAATCGGGTTCTGAGATAGCCTCACCTCCACCAGGCTCAAAGCCTTGGGTCTCCTGAGTCTAGACTAAAGGGAATGGGACATATTGGGTTAAGGTTAGGGGGTGTGGGGTGGTGGAGGCCCCAATCTCCTGTCAGTGTCTCTCCCTCAGGGCTTCTGGGCTTGCTTCCTCTCAGCCTCTCTCTGGACTTTGAAGTGGTTGGGGCTTCCTTTGCTCACCTCCTTAGGCCCTTTAAACATCTGTGGGCCTCCTGATAAGAAGCCCACCCTGAACTTTGTGCCTCCCCTACAGCTGGTCTCAGATCCTCCTTAGCTTAGGTCTCAATTTAGGACCTGGAGAGTGGGATGACTCAGAATTTCTGAGGCAAATCGCCCCACAGCCACAGGGAATGGAATCGTCTGTAGCTGATCTGTCACAGAAGACTAGCATGTAGGCGGGACAATGACACGGGTTTTACAGAGATACGGACCAAATATCAAGTTTCCCTTGGAAGCATTTTGTCCAGCATCCAGCAGATGTGTGAGTGACTGCGTCTGATCCCCTGTGGATGGACACCCTCTCAACTCCTCTCCTAACCGGGCAAGGAGTCAGCCAAGGCTCTCTGGGTCAGTAAACCAGTTTTGAGCCGCCTGGGGGTCCCATTCCTTCTCCCTCCCCTGCCTGATGGCCCTGTATCTATCTTCCTGAGGCAGAACCTCCCTCACTCTGGGAATCCACCTGCCTACTGAAGAGCTGTCCATTTGACTTCAATTTCATGTCTCCCGGCAGCAATCTCTAGGAACTGCTCTTCTTTGGTGCACCTTCTCCCCTCCCTGGTTAAAGGCTCTAGGGCCCAGGCCCACCCTAAGTCTGCTCAGAAATGCAAGGCCAAGTATACAATCACCCTGCTGGTGATGAACCATTTAGGGGATGACTGGCCCCTGGCTCCAGGCCCACACTGGCCAGGGCCTCTTCCCAAGAGCTGGCTCCAACCCCAACTCACCTCCTGCAGAGGCTACAGAAGTAACAGCCAGACAGGCCAAGACCAAGGCTGCTCTGGACATGGTCCCCATCCTGGGGCAAAGACTGGCCAGTGGCACCCAGGAGGTGGGTCGTCTCAGGTAGATCTGGATTTGAAGGGCTGGGCTGCTGGGAGCCTGCTTCTCCAGTTGCTGTTACAGCTGTTGTGAACCTCAGGGCTGGTTCCTTCTCCTTTTATACGGCTATCTGGGGATAACTCCCTCCCTCCTATTTCCTGCCATGACTCAGTCCCAGCTGCTCCTCCTCTGGCAGCCACTCCTCCCAAATTCACCCTGCAGCCTCCTAAGAGGACTGAGGAGAACAGGGCTGAGGGGAGGAGAGCATTCTTCTGATCCCCCAGAGAAATGGATTCTGAAACTCATGGAGTAAGAGATGGTGAGACATGGGGCACCTGGGTGGCTCACTTGGTTAGGCGTCTGTCTCCTTTGGCTCAGGTCAGGATTTCAGCATGCTGGGATTGAGCTCAGAGTTGGGCTCCCTGCTCAGTGAGCAGTCTGCTTTCCCTCTGCTCCTCCCCCTGGCTTGGGCACCCTCTCTCTCAAGTAAATAAATAAAATCTTAAAAAAAAAAAAAAAAAAGATGTTGAGATGTCATTTTACGCCTCAGTTCCTCTGTGCATGCTGCCCGCTGTGGAGCAGTACAACCTGCTAGACTGGGGTTGAGGAAACAGGGTACGAAGGAGTCCAGGGTGGGGGACAGGACAGCTACCCCAAAAGCCCCATACTGGTGAGAGGCCACGGCTACCTCCTCTCTGTTTCGCCAGGGCCCCGGGACAAAAGAGAGAGGCAGAGTTAAACTCCCTTTTATCCTCTGCTCAGGAATCAGAGATGAAGATGAAGACACATACCTGGGAGCTTCAAGTTTATTCTTTATACTTTCACTCTCCCCACATCCAAACAGCTACAGCATTCCCCACATCAAATGACTTTCCAGGAGAGCAAACTCATGCCTCCACATGATTCTGAGGGGGTTGGGGGGGGTGCCTCTAGATTCTGGCAGTGAGGTCAGGCTCTCCTGCATGGAGGGAGGTGGGCGGCTCCTGCCACATCCATATACAAAAGCTCAGAACACTTCCTCAGCATCTGAGACCCTGGTGTTCTGGAGCTCCAGCAGCCGTTGCACAGCCTCAGTCAAGTCCCGCTCCCCGAGCTGGCGGTTATCTCGAGTCCGAATGTTCACTGTTTTCTTACTCTGCTCTTTCTGGCCAACCACTGGAGGAAGAGGGGAGGTTTGGGATTGTCAGGGTACACTTATCCACATGGAATATGCAAACATTCAAGAGACCTGAATCTTTAGGAAGAGTGAGAGCACAGCCCAGATATAGTTCAGGAAAAGGAGATACTTAGATGCCTCCTGCTCTCCAGTTCCCCGATCATCCTAATGAAATAAGGAAATGTTCCAGACATGCTCCACATGCCTTAGCACTTTCAGTAAGGAGCCTAGAAAGTACAGATAGTGGGGTCAGCCAGAGAAAGACAAACAGACCAAGAAGCAGACTCAGAAACTGTATGTTTGGACATTAGAGAGAGGGGAAGGTGGTAGGGGCACAAAGCACAAGGCAAGTCCAGGGGGTAATGGGGCAACTTGCTCTAAGTGCCATTGGGTGAGTGAGAGTATAAAACGAGAGAACTGAGTAACCTTAGTAAGAGGCGTTTCTGTTCCTTGTCTTCAAGACAGAGCTCTGAGTGGAGAAATGAAAAAAGGAACAAGGTGGCCTGACTTTACTCAAGGTCTTTCTCATCATTCCTTAGGGTTGACTCCCTCTGGGTGTAGAATAAACAAAGCTAACTAATTAACACTTTATTAATTCGTCCTGTCCCTTTCTCTGTAATGCTCCTTTGGTTAATTAACCTAACAGACATCAAAAGCTAGGATGAAAACTGTTTTCCTGAAACCATAAAACTCCTAGAAGAAAACATAGGTGGTGATATCTTGGACACCGGCATTAGCAACTTTATTCTGGATGTGTCTCCTCAGGCAAGAGAAATAAAACCAAAAATAAATTACTGAGACCACATCAAGCTAAAAAAGCTTTGCATAGCAAAGGAAACTATCAACACAATGAAAAGGCAACCTATTGAATGGAGGAAGATATTGGCAAATGATATATCTGGTAAGAGGTTAATATTCAAAATATGTAAAGAACTCCTACAATTCAACATCAAAAAACCCCCAACAGTCATAGTTGAAAATAGGCAGAGGGCCTAAATAGATATTTTTCCAAAGATGACATACAGATGGCCACCAGGCACTTAAAAAGATGCTTAACAACACTAATTATCACAGAAGTGCAAATCAAAACCACATGAGTTATCACCTCACAGTCAGAATGGCTAGTATCAAGAAGACAAGAGGGGCAGCCCGGGTGGCTCAGCGGTTTGTGCCGCCTTCAGCCCAGGGCGTGATCCTGGAGACCCAAGATCAAGTCCCATGTTGAGTACCATGTTGGGCTCCCTCAGGAAGCCTGCTTCTCCCTCTGCCTGCCTGAGTCTCTGCCTGCCTGCGCCACTGCCTCTCTCTCTCTCTGTCTCTCTGTCATAAAGAAGACAAGAAATAACATGTGTTGGCAAGGATGGGGAGAAAAGGGACCCTTGTTGGTGGGAATGCAAGCTGGTGCAGCTACTACAGAAAACAGGATGGAGGGTTCGCGAATAAACAAATCTTAAAAATATATATTGCCAATATATGGAAGCAACCCCAAGTGGCCATCAACAGACACATGGATACAGCCAGGTACCCTGTATGATTTCACTTTTACATGGAATCTAAAACACAAAACAAATGAATACATACACACACTCTCCCAACAGAAACAGTCTCATAAATACAGAGAACCAAAAAAGTGATGGTTGGCAGAGGGGAGCAGGGTAGGAGCATGGGCAGAATAGGTGAAGGGGAATAGAGATATAAACTTCCAATTATAAAATAGGTAAACCACAGTGATGAAACATATAGCATAGTCAATAATATAACATTATATGCAGATAGATGGTAGCTACGTTTATTGTGATGAGCACCTAGTAATGTATAGACGCATCAAATCATTATGCTGCAAACCTGAAATTAATGTAACATTGTGTGTCAACTATACTACAATTAAAATTTTTTAAATTTAATTAAAAAAATAGATTAATGGGGCAGTCCCGGTGGCTCAGCGGTTTAGCGCCGACTTCAGCCAAGGGCGTGGTCCTGGAGACACGGGATGGAGTCCCACATCGGGCTCCCTGCATGGAGCCTGCTTCCCCCTCTGCCTGTGTCTCTGCCTCTCTCTATCTCTCAGGAATAAATAAAATCTTAAAAAAAATAGATTAATGTTAAAGTTACTATGTATATAATTAAGAATAACCAGCAAAAAATACAAAAATTAAAAGAATAAAATGTGAGTCTAAAAAGAAATGCTATTTTTGCAGCAAAATGCTGATAGCTTTGGGCAATATCCCCAGAGCCAATGTGGTTCACACTATCCCAGCTCAAGATTAAGGGGCACTTTAGGGCAGCCCCAGTGGCGCAGTGGTTTAGCGCCGCCTGCAGCCTGGGGCATGATCCTGGAGACTCGGGATCGAGTCCCACATCGGGCTCCCTGCATGGAGCCTGCTTCTCCCTCTGCCTGTGTCTCTGCCTCTCTCTCTCTGTGACTCTCATGAATAAATTAATAAAAAAAGATCTTAAAAAAGGGGGGGGGGCACTTTAGTGGAGATGTCTGAAAATATGGGCCCAGCAGGTAAAATTCAAATACTGGCTGGCTACATAAAAACCCCAGCCTTAGTCTTGAAGGTGCTCACTATTTACCATATGTTGTAACAACCTAAATCTCATCAAATGTTTTCTCAAATGTCTGTGATTTTTTTTTTAAATGTCTGTGATTTTATATATATTTTTTGTTCTGCTGAGAATATTCTATACTACGTGTTAGTAAAAAAGTGCTTTTCGTGCCTGTGACATAATTCTCTATGTCTTGGCACAAATGCAAAGAATAAATCAGTAGTAGGAAAAAAGAAAAATTCTTCTGAGGATAAGAACTGGTTGCCAGGGGGGTGAAGGACCCTAGGGTCCAAATGGCTCAGGTGTCCTGAATCCAGCTCAGTAATTAACCCAAATATGCAGATGACCAAATTTAATAGGAAAGAGCAGTGCAGGAGGCCAGTAGGAGAATGCAGGGCTCCGAGTGCATGTGCTGTTGGTTTCTTACCGAACTGAAAGTTGTAGTGGGCGAGCTGAGCCCGGCGGACTCGCCGGCTGAGGGTCAGTCCTGAGTCGGCATCCAGGTCACAAACCAGTCCTGCAGCCTGTAGCCTCTGCTGTGCCTGGGGCAGAGAGGCAGAGGTTTGATGACAGGAACTGAAAGCTGAGGAGCTAGAATAGTCTAAAACCAATCTTCCCCATGCACTGGATCTGTTCCTCCGTCCTCTGCCTCAAGCCTCTCATTTCCTGTGGACAACCACTCCTTGTTCATCTCTACACCGAGGCCCCTCCCTAGCCCTGTAGTTTGGTCTGCCTCCTTCTGGAGGCAAGCTTGTCACCAATTCCCCAATTCTGCCTGCTGTAGCCACAGAGCCACCCAACCAGCTACTTGACTCTGGTACCATCCATATTCTTACTTCTCTCTAGAAAGCAAATGCAAAACCAACATTTCTCTAAGCCCCTTTTGTGCCAAGTACTCTGCTGTCAGAGTTTAACATTTGTTAATTTGTTTAATTTTCACGCATCTCCACAGGCATCTCTCAGATGTGGAATTTCTAGCATAAAGGCTGGCAACCATTTGAGCCCAGCCTTGGGCTCCAAGTGCTATTCTGTGTGACCCCGGCCTACCCATTGCTCAGCCCTGGACTACAGCTAGTCCTGCTTCAGCGCCTGTGCACACAGCCCTGCTTCCCCTCACCTCCCTGGCATATTCTTCTTGCTCAGCTCCCACGGGGATGACCACTACCTGGAACGGCGACAGCCACAATGGCCTGGTGGAGAGGAGAGGAAGGCAAACTATTTACTCCGGCTTTGACCATGAGTGTGGCTACAGAGTCGACTTGAGAGGAAAATGGAAGAGGGAGTCTGAGGAGACCAGGATCTGGAGCATGCACTAACAGAAATCTGGGGCCAGCGGTCTCACCATTTTCCCCCATAGCTTTCCGCCAGCACTCCCAACATCCTTTCCACAGAACCTAGCACTGCTCGGTGAATGAGGACTGGACGCTCGGGGACTCCCGCCTGCCTTGGAGGGAAAAAGGGAGATGAATGGAATAAAGAAAGTGCACAAAATGTGCACCCAAAAGGTTTCCAAGAAATATTCAGGTTTCCAAGAAACATTCAGCTCCAGCAAAGGTGTAGAGGATTGGGGTTTCATTTTTGGGGACAAAGAAGGGAAAATTGATTTCCACCTATTCTGTTGGCAGCCAAGGGAAAAGGAGATGGGGCAAGGTTCTGTACCCCTTGTACTGGAGGTCAAATCTCAGAGGCAGCTGGAAGTCAAGCTGGATTGTGCCACACTGATGAGGCCGGCCCAGGGCATCATGGAGGTGCACATCAATCTGGAAGAGACAGACGGGAGGACAGAAGAGCAACCAGAAGCAGCATATACACTCTACTGAATGTACCACCCACCCTCTACCTACCCACATCCCAGGCTGTTTTGGGAGACTTATCACCCAGCTATAATATACTCTAAGTCACTCATTGGGCACTCCAGCGGTGGCTCTTTCTACTCAGTAATGGCAGAACTTTAAGGGACATCAACACCGACATGAATGACCCACCCACACCCTGGCCTCTGAATTCCTTAAGCTTGTCATCTCAAAGATCTTCATGTGCACTCATGCATGGATACAGCCTTCATCTTGTCATTGCTCAGAATGGCTGCACCTCTGCAATAGTGCATCACACACCCTACTCTGATCACTATCTTTTGGTCTTTTGGCTGACAATTATTCCTACCAATGGCTCTTCAATTTCTAGATTCCTTAACTCCTCTTTTTCCTTCCCATTCACAGCCCCTACCCACCTTTCTTTCCCCATGCAGATGGAACCTGGTTCCCTTCTACCATTGTTCTCCTGTCACATCTCCATGGCAATACCCCAACCTGGTGGCACTCTTGCCTCCCACCTCCTTGGTCCTGCAACAGAACCCCTCAGAGCTGCCCAACATGTCCTATACCACACAAATGCATAAATGGGGACTGCTGCCACCATGCTAGTCCCTGTTTTGAACCTCAACTGGGCCCTCGCTATTGTTAGCAATCCTCTGCTGCCCAAGTCAGTTTTGTGTTCTGTTCTCAAGGATTTTCAAGCTTTCTCTTCTTCCTATTGTCACTGCCCTCACTGCCAACTCCCCCTCTGCCCTACTCCCATCTCAGCAAATGATCCTGTCTCCTATCTCACAGTGAAATCGGATATGATGTCACGAGATGGAAAAATGTCTCCATTTCCTGTCACCACACCTAGACTTCCTTGCATGTACCCCCACCTTTCTTCCTGCCTCCGGAACAATGGCAAAGGTGGTCTCTTGAAGGCTCTCAATCCTACTCCTCAAGCCTCACCAGGAAATTCCCTCTACTGAAACCCCTCTACAACTTCTACTTCTCTCAGACCCAAACAGATTCTCTTTCATTCTCAAATTTCTCCCTTTATCAAAATCTCTTTTGACTACCCAGGCCCCTTTGGCTACTCTCCTTTGCTTTTTCAAGAGCCAAAATTCTCAAAAGAGTTAAGTTCATTTTTCACCTCTGACTCCCAACTCCAGCTTACTTTACCAAAAATGGTCCTTCAACATCTAACAGCCTTTTCACTGAACCCAGCAGACACTTTCCAGTCCTTTTCCCCCCTAACTTCTTCCAGCTTGCCCTGCAAGTTTTTACCCTGCCCTCAGCCTGCTCTGGAATTTCTCCGTACCTGGCCAATAATGACCTTCCAGGTTATTATCCTGCAAGAAGCCTTTCCTGACCCTCCTGAGTGACATGCTTCCTTGATACCTATACAGTGGGGATTCGGTGGCCCCAAAATGCCTATTTACCTCCCATACCCTTCACAAGATCATAAGCTCCACGTGGGCAGGAGACATACTGCTCTTCTTTATATCCTAGACAAGTTTAAAAATATTCCTTTGTGCCTATTAAATATGTAAATAAAACAAAACAAGAGATGAATAAATAAAACTCTTAGCAGGGTCCCCTACATACCTTAGGCCCATAAAATGCACCATCTCCAGGTTTGAGGTCCCAGGGTTCTCCAAATTCTTCCAGGGCCCGTTGAAGGACCTTTCAGAGGGAATGAGATAAGAGAGGAATGTGTCATCTTAGAGTTTATGAGCAATAGAGCCTTCCAGTCCCCAACAAATGACCTGCTTAGCATATGCCCCTAAGGAGGACCCTGATTCCTATCTCCCCCACCCCTATGAGAGAGTGGTTTATCTGCCTCTTCACCTGCTTACCTGCTCAGCCTGGTCCCAAAGGCAAGACTCTCCCAGGAAGCCAGACGGCCGGGTGGATAGTGCCAGGCGGAAGGAGAAGCCAAGGACAGCATAGACAGAACGCAGGAAATCAAGACAGCCTTGGATCTCTTCTTCAAGCTGGAGGCAGAAAAAACAGTGGGTGAGCTGTACACTACCGAGTGCAGGAGTGATGGGAGTTTGGGGGAGGAAACACAAGGCAAAAACATAGAGAATGGTTAGGGTTCCCATGTAACCGAGTTGTAGTATACGAAGAGGGCGACTGGCAGTTGGGAATGTTGGCAGTTCATACGGAACACAGAAAGTGGCTTAGAACTGCTCTGGTGGAGCTGGGGAAAGGTCACCTGATCTGGTGCACAGAAGATGTGAGCATCATCCTGCTGGAAGCACCGCAGCCGGGTCAGTCCCCCCAGACTACCAGAGGCCTCAGCCCGGTGCAGGACCCCAAAGTCTGCCAGTCGCAGAGGCAGCTCTCGCCAGGATCTGGGCCGGTGAGCGAACATCAGGCTAAAGATGGGGTATGGGAGGGTCAGGGCCACAGGAAAAAGTAGCCCCTGCAGACCGCCCCTCTATGTAATGTGCTTGCTTCCTCTCTCTGCCCCTTAGTGAACCACCTCTCCAGCCTTGGCATGCCCTCCCACTGAGTCCTGTCAACCCCACTCAGCACAGTTTGAACCTGACCTGTTTGAAAGTTCATTTCTTAGAAACAACAGTAGCAGACCTCATTTACTGTGCTGCTATTCTGTGACAGCGACTGAGGTGAAAGAGGAACTTTGGACAGCAGTTCCAAACTCCAGATGTTACACAAAGGGACTAAGACTTAGGGAGGTAAGATGGTTTTCCCAACTCCACATGGTTAGCTGAAGAGCAGATTCAGAACACAAATCAGGTGTCCCAGGGCTCTGCCAAGGTGCTTCCTCTTACTTCATATTTGACAACTTGGTTGCCTATCCCAGCCCTGGGAGGACTTAGACCTCCTGACTCCTATCTCACCAATGTGCAGGGCAGTTCATGGGCTTGAGGGCAAGCGTGTCTGTGGAATGGCTGGTAGAGCAGACACTCAGGGAGCTGGCAAGCCTGTCAGAGCCTGGGGGCTGCAGGACAAACATATCTTCCTGATAATGTTCCCAGTGTCCTGACAGTTCCCAGAGTTTCGCCGAAAACAGTGTGGGGGTTTTCACTTCTGAGAAACCACGGCGGGTGTACTCGGCCTGCAGAGGAGGATATAGACACAGGTCAGAGTGACTGGGGGAGGAGGCAGGGTGGCAGGGATATGATTCTCCGGAGATCTTAGCCACAATCTGTTAAGTACCATATTCTCTTTCTGCACTCCCATCCTGTGGACCACACATTCCTAGGACCTTGTTAAAGGTCACCTGCACTTTACAATGTTTATGTTTAATCTCGCTCTTTTAACACTTGGCCTCTTCTGGGCCCCAATTTCCTCCCTGGACTTCCTTCCTCTCGACGTGGGTCCCCCTTACCCTGATAAAAGCCACCAGTGCATTATACACCCTTGTCCCTCGAGGCAGGAAGAAGCAGCTCCCGGGGCTCAGTTCATGAAAGAAGAAGAGCTCCTGTGCCTGTGCGCAGGAATGGCGGTGTCACTCAAGGGAGAAAGTGAGGACTTTGGAAGAAACTGATGGAGCTGCTCAATCTCTTGGATTTGGAATCTGCTCCCAACTTTGCCATCAGATTCCCTCACACCAACTCCCCTTCTCCCAATCTCTGTACCTTCCCAATGCGCCGGTGGTCCCGTAACTCCGCTTCCCCCTTCCATTCTTCCCAGGCCCTCAGCTCCTCTACTGTGGGAAAGGAGATCCCTGACACCCGTTGCAGTGTCTCTGGGGTACCCGAAGACCTCCACAGGGATGAGGAGTTCTATGAGAGGACACAGGGAGTCAAAGGGAAGATGGTGGGGGGGGACTGCAGGCACCTAAGCTCTCCTTCAATGATGCTAATCTGATACTGAGCTTAAGCACAATTGTCCCGTCTCAGTGTTCACTCCGTTTCCCATTGCCTTCACCAGACTACTATCCCCCCAGACTCCCTGCCATGTTTATAGCCTTAGAGATGCTCCTCCATCCCCCAACTTCTAATCAATGACTGCTCATGGGAGTAACCCTAAGCTCTGGTCAAATGTCCATCTATCCATCCACTTATCAATCTCCCACACTATGTCCTACTCTTCTTAGCCACATGAAATTCAAATGCCTCTGCTTGCTCTTTTCTTGAACAATTTAATAAGAAATTGCCTGTGTTTTATAGCACTTTTAGTTTTTCCTCATACTTTCTCCTGTGTTAGCTGACTCTGTCTCAGTGATGTGGATTTATTGGCAGGAAAAGAATAACAATAACTTTATTTTGAGATGGGGAAAATGAGTAAGGAGATTCACCCAAGGCCATATACTTCACTGGTGGGAGAGCTAGGACTAAGCACAGATGGCTAGGTTTTCAGTCCAGGGCTTTTGGCTGTATATACCTGCCTCTCCCCTTGCTCCCAATTCCCATTCCACCTAATAAATAACTCACCTGACCCAGGAACAGTATTTTCATAAAAAGCATGCCTTTGACTTACGGTATACTCCCTGCACCTTTCAAATGGTGTTGTATATACCCTCTCTCCACAGAAGCCTCCCCTACATGACCTTGTCCAACTTGTTCACATATTCCCTCTCTATCTCCCTACCACTGAGGTCCAACTACAGAATGTGAATTGGCTTCTGGGCCCCGGCAGGGTGCCCAGCATCTGCCATCAGACTGGGAGTTTGCAGAAGGTACGAATGAAGAGAGGGGCTAAGAGATTATCTTCCCTATTCCTCTGCTTATCCCAGTGAACACAGGAGTCTCAACCTAACCCTGCCCTCACAACTGACCGTTAGCAGCTTCAGTCCTCCAATCTGTCCAGTATGCCGAAGGTGGGGGCCCCGGCAAAGATCAACCAGCATGCCACACCTGGGAGAAAGAAGAGGCCACTTAGTGGTTCTCAAATTCTTGAGCTTCTAGTCTTCTCCCTCTCATGGCTTTCAGTAGACAGGAAAGAAAGTAAAGAACTATTCTACAGAGGGAGCAAGAACAATGGGAGATAAAATTATTTCTTGTTCCTATTCCTTTTCTGGAGGAACAGATTACTTTCTACCTTCTTTCCCTCATCCCATCTCTGGGCTTCTTTGGTGCATCCCGCCTCTCCCTCTTTCTGTCCATTTTGACAACTCTCACCCATATACTGTTGCTGTGGGACCTGTCACTTTCTCTTCAATCAGGCGAAGCTTAAAGGGGTTATCCTGGAAAGAGAGTGAGGATAAGTCTTTATTCCCATAAAGATGTCCTGGAAGAGAGCTACCCCTTCCCTCATGCTTCTGGATCTTCCTCCTAAATGTGTGCCCCTCCACCTTACCTTGAATAGCTGGCGAAGCTGATCCTGGGACACCTCTAACCTCCGGAAGGGTTGAGCAGCAGCTACAAGTTCTTGGCAAATCTGCTCCAGAGCAGGCAGCTCTGAGCCCCGGACTGTCCTGAAAAGAAGATAGTTGGTTGGCCTGCATCTGCTGAGAAGCATCACCTGGTGCCAAACCTGCTGATCGGAGGTGAAATCCTGCTCTCCAGAGACATTCAGAATTATTGGCAAAGAGAGACAAACTGAGAGAAAACATAATTAGGAAATCAGGTATAAATTTTCCAGCAGGAGCAAAAGCTCTATGTATGAAATTAAAAGCTGGACGCAGGCAATATGAATGGACAAAAATGGAGCCACAGTAATGAAGGATGAAGTAAAATTAAAGAATTCATAAAGACTAGAGAATTTCAAGCAGAACTAGACAGGAAAAGAAAGGCACAGACCAGTGGAGAAAATGGCACCAATGTCACAGCTGAGGCCTTTAGAAGCCCTTCCCCAAACTTTCTCCTCCAAACTGAACATGCCTGACACCCCAGAAAAAAGGAGGCAGAAACCACCCTTGTGAAAGGGTACACACTCAGTTATAAAATGAATCAGGTTTGAGGAGTTAATGTATAGTATGGTGACTATAATTGATAATTCTGTTTTGTTTATATATTAAAATTTATAAGAGTAAACCTTAAGCATTTATACATACACACACTTAATCAAACCAATTGTGAGAATCCTTTCACAATGTATACAAACATCAAATTATCAGGTTGTACACTTTCTTATATTTAAAATTTTGTTTGTTGGTTTGTTTATGTCATTTCTACACCCAACATGGGGCTTGAACTCACAACCCCAAAATGAAGTCACATGCTCTTCTGACTGAGCCAGCCAGGCTCCCCTCACATTGCACACTCTAGTATAGGTGCTATCAAAGTGAGCACTATACACTTTAAATATATTACTTTATCAATTATACTCTAAAAAGTTGAAAAATGAAATAAAACACAGTTAAATATCTAAAAGAGAAACCACCCCAGAATCATTCTCTTTTCTTGCACTACTCACCGCTCCTTTCCCAGGAAGAAATCATGGTAGAAGCCACATTCTGTACTTGGACCTCGGCAGAGGACAGCACCAAGGAGTTGTTCAGCTGCTGCCCCAAGGACGTGGGTGCTGGAGTGCCAGAACACCTGGGTTCACAAGGAAGGAATTCATACCCTCCTCCTTCAAGCCCTCAGAGAAGCTGGTGTGAAATCAGTATGGCTCTTCTACAGAAAACTACCAGAAAATGGGGAACCTGACCTTGGGGTGAACGCTAAATAATAAAAAGAAACAAAAAAACTGAAAAGAAAAGAGAACGAAAAGCCAGTAGAGGCAATGCACAGATGAGAGTAACCCTCAGCGCCACTCCTTGGTGCTTCCCAGTCCTGGAGCTCAGAAGCACAAGCCCAATCTTCTTTTGTTGGTCCTATAACAACCCCCTTTAGGGCTTCAGAGTAAACTACCTTCTTAAGATAGTAGTTCCTAAGGGCTCTGTTTGGTCTTTGAGTTCTATTTTTTTCTATCCCAGGAATCTAGTGTGATGCAACCCCTTTTCTATTGTTTGTCACCACTTGTAGGTGACAAAATTCCATTTTTCTGGATCCTAATAGATGAGGTCCATATTACCTAAGCTGACCCGAAGAAGACAAAGTGGGAAGGAGGTCAGCGGCGGAAGCCAAGTTAGAATTAAAAAATATATGCTACAGATAACTAATAATGTTTATGCCTATAAAATCAAAGGGACTGAACTGGCATTATATCCTTCTATTTTCAGCTTATGATCCCTCCTCTCTACTAGCACAAATGATGTCTACTTAATAGACCCAGTCTGAAAACTTTCATCATAAGCTGTTTTTTAAGATTTTACTTTTTTATTTGACAGAGAGAGAGCGTGAGCAGAAGCAGGCGGAGTGGGGAAGGGGAGAGTAGGCTCCCTGCTGAGCACGGAGCCTGACTTGAGGCCTCAATCCCAGGACCCCGGGATCATGACTTGAGCTGAAGGCAGACACTTAACTGACTGAGCCACCCAGGCGTCCCTCATAAGTTTCTAGCTTAGGCAGGGCTAGTCAAGACAAGCTATCTGTGGTATGTCTCCCTCCTAATTGCAAACGGAGAAACTGAGGCAAAAGAAATACTAGAAATAGGTCTACTTAAATATCACTTAGTTTAGGTACTCCTGAGTGATGCAGTTTGTTAAGTGTCCTATTCTTGGTTTGGGTTCAGGTTGTGATCTCAGGGTCCTGAAATGGAGCCCTGTGTCAGACTCTGTGCTCTGTGCAGAGACTGCTTGGGATTCTCTCTCCCTCTGCCCCTCTGTACACCCCCTACATCTCTTTCTCTTTTTAAAATAAGTAAGTACACCTTTAAATTAAAAAATACATATTGGGGCGCTTGAGTGGCTCAGTTAAGCATCTGCCTTCGGCTAAGGTCATGATCCCAGGGTCCTGGGATCAAGTCCTGCATCAGGCTTCCTGCTCAGCGGGGAGCCTGCCTCTCCCTATGCCCTGCTTGTGCATGCTGTCAAATAAATAAAATCTTTAAAATATACACATATCCCTTAGTTTGGTTATTATGGCATTCCCAAAAACAAAGAAACTTACTGCTTTGCCCTCTGCAGAACTAAATGTCAGAAATTTGAGGTCAGAATCTGTCTCCAAGGGTCGCTCCAGATCATAAAGCTCTCCATTCACTTGAGCAGCCACTGCAGTATCTGCCACTGTTGAACTTGGTGGAAGGAGGGGCGAGGATAAAGAAAAAGACATGGTTACAATCCACAGGGGAAGAGAGGGACTAATCTCTCAAAACTCCAAATTTGCAAATGGGGAAAGGTGTAACCAGAGCAACAAAATCTATAATTGCTTTTCCTGATGGATAATAAATGAAGGGTAGGCACTCTGAAACTAATGCAGATAAAAATGAATCCTCAGGAAAAGGCGATCTTGAGAAGAATGGAAGAGAAACAAGCAGAATTTTCATTCCCCGCTCAAGTCCTGCGAAGTACAGAGACAGGATACTCCTGGTGGGTCTGGTACCTCATCTGCTGGGCTAGTTGGTAAGGAGTCGTGTTCCATGCCACAGCGTCCACCTTTTGGCCTCCAGGGAGGGTTATCTTAATTGTCTGCCGTTCTTTCTGTGTCCTGCTCGCTAACCTCTTCACCTGGGCAGTCCATAGCTCCTCAAAAAGGCCAAGCCGCTCTGCCAACCAGTGTGGAGGGTTCGGCACCGGTGCCTGGAGGGAAAGATGCTAGGAGGTAACAGGGTCCATCATTCCTCTTTGGGCTTGGGGCTGGTGGGAGATGAGGGCATGGAAGTGGTCTTGGTCCCGATCCCTCGTCTGAAAGAGGACTGGGCGACACAGGGCTGGGAGCCCTTGTTCCTCCACCCGTTGACCCTAGGGAAAAGATGGCTGCACCTAAGGACTTGGGAAGCCCGCCCAGGGGTAGGGGTGTCCGGCTGGGCTGAGAGCCTACATCTCAGCCCACAGCTGGGCTGGATCCGAGCGGTTCATAACTTTTGGGTACCTCACGCACCGTGTGTAGCCCGCAGATCTGCAAGACCGGGAGCCGGAGCTGCCGCCACCTGCGATACAACCCCATGTTCCTTCAGATCGGTGCCTACATCCTTAAACAAATCGTCGCCGTTTCTCCTTCACAGGATTCCTCATTGGCTGCTGGCCCAACACCACCCATGCCTATGGGCTCCTGAGGCTGCCACTCTAGGCTGGGCCCGCCTTCAGGAGATCCGCAGAGGTACGCCCCACACAGCGCGGGCCGCGGTGCGGGTGGTTCCGGGTGAGCGGAAGACCTAAACTGTTACACACACCCGCAATCCCGAAACCTGAAATCCCAGCCCAAAGTAGCAATAACGTATTCTGCAACTTTGAGGACAGGGGCAGGAAAACGCCTGAGAAATGAGAGTGGGAGAAAAACGGACGGGAAAGAGGAGCTAGTCATTTCCTTTTAACCATAGGTTTTTACATAGTCTTTGCTGGCAGGTAGAAAAGAGGTAAGAGCATAGTCCTTGGAACCTGACACTCTAAATCTTAGATCTGTCTGCCATTCACTGTGGAATTTTGGGTGGATTATATAATTTATTCTGAGCTTCAATTTCCTCATCTATAAAATGGGAATAATAATAAAACTTCCAACTGCTGAGGTTAATTTTATGGAAACCGTGCCTCACCACAATGGTGACAAGCAATTAGAATAAATGAATTCAACGACTTTGGGGCTGGAGCAGAGAATCTGCGGGGGGCACTTGTTGGAATCTCTTCACAGTCCTAGTGTTTATGAGGGACCTTAAAGACCTCTTAATCTTACAGATGGGAGACTTTAAGGTCAGAGAAGATAAGTGACTTAAGGTCAAAGAGTAAGTGCTGGTTCAAGATTTTGAATCCAATTCGTACACCCTTCTATCACACCATGCTTTCTCTAACAGTAGGGTTGATTTCCAATGTACTCCCCATCACTTCAGAAAGAGATGCCTGACCCCAGAACCTCAGCTGTCTGTTTCCTGCACAAGACCTTGCCTCTCATTTCCATCCTAGCTCTCCACTTCCTTGATCTCTTCTCTTCCCACTCCCTGCAATATCTAGGACAGAGGACTAGGCATGTTTGATTTATTTTGCAAAGTAATAACTGAAACACGGTCACATTTGTGGTAAAGTAGGAGGGGAAATGGACTTGGGGGGCAGCTGTAATGTTCTCAATAACTCCCCTTGATCCCCTCACCTGGGGGTGGGGATGGTTAGAGATGGTTCTCAAGTTTCCAGTGCTGATAGAATCAAGGATTGTGGAGGAAGAGCTGTCAGAGAAAGCTGTTTAATATAGGCTTCCAGAGGCCAGAGGTTCTTTCTGGTGAAGGCAGCAGTTGACTTGAATCACAGGCACCACTCTGGATCTGGTTCCATCTGCTGACACCCTGTAATACAAAAAGAAATAGACAAGACTGTGGAAGAGGAAGATTACTTGTGTGTGGGAGGGGTGGTCTGGAGGGTTGGAAAAAGGCAGACAGGGTTTAAAATGACATTCAGAAAGTGTAACAACAGGCAGAACTTTTCCGATGGCTTTGCACCCAAAAGAATGGGAATGTTATATTGCAGGTAACAAAGTGATAGGTTCTCAATAATTATTGAATTAAGAATGTATCAATAACTGTATTGACCTAAAACTCCAAAGGATACATTTACTAACACATACATTCTTTAATCATTGTCCTCGTTTAGGATAGTAGAAAGATGGTAGAATAAATAGGCTACACAATCATGGCAGCTCCCTGTACTCATCCCTCAAACATGTACTGACTTACTGTGTGCAATGTCCTGAACTGAGGGCTCATAGGATGCCCATCAATCAATGACTAACATCATCACCTATGTAACTTGTGTTGCAGTGGAGGAAGGAATGTTAGGAGTTATTTTATTCTTCTTGTAGCAACAAGCCAGCCAGCCATCAAGGAATAGCAAGCTAGCTACAGCCTATTCATTAATCACCAGTTCTTTTACAATTTCTGACTTCTCACGGACTACCATGTGTCAGCCTCAGGAATTTTAACCCATTAGTCTGTCTGGGAAATGTCTATCCCTAAAATTGCTCTTACCTTCCACCCAGAATATCACTGAACACCTACTATGTGCCAAGTGCTACACCTATCATATTTGATTTCAAGAACAACCCTGACAATATCTCCTCCTATGCTCCCTTTAAAACATGGAAAATGATCCTCAGAGAAGTCAAATCCTAGCCCTAGCTCTAGCCCATCTGAATCCAAAACCTGCGTTATGCCATGCCACCTTTCAGCAACTGGAATAGTCCTAATGCATCGCAGAGCTCTTTTTCTGCAGGGTACATCACTTGGAGGGCCAAAGAGGCCTTAAATATACAGGGAGAAGATAAGCCAAGAAAAGCATCTAACTAGATTTTCTCTAATCAAAGTTAAGGAAAATTAAGTATGAGAAAATAATGCCAGCAGATTTCAGAGTCCAGAGAAAAGGCAATCCTCAGTTAAGGGTATCCAAGACCACTGGTCACATTTTTAAAAATTCTCAGCTTTACTCTTAGAATCAGCATCACAAATTAGCTAAAGCTTTGGTTGAACAAGTATTATTTTTGTATTCCTAAACTATATGTAAGAATACTCTCCATTGAAGGTAAAGTCCAATTCCTCTTGTCATCGGGACATACCTCCAAGTCTATCTTAGCTCTTCACAAAATTTCCCTGCACCCAGGAAGTAGAAAAGATACCAGAGGTGTAAAAAAAAAAAAAAAAAGAAAAAGAAAAAAAGAAATGTAAGAGAGTCGAATATATAAAGAAAGGTTTATGTCATTGTCACTAAATACTTTTGAAGCCCAGAGAACTAGCCAAGTGGCTAAAAGTGCAGTAGGTGGTGTAGAGAGGTTAGATTTATTTAAAAGCAAAAAACAACCGCCCCCCACACACAAATTCCTTAGTGAGGAGATGTAGGATGGGGCCAAGCTTTTAACTTTGCTTTAAGATGCCAAAAACAGTAAGTCCAGCCACATTTGCTGATAAAAAAGGAGGGGGAAGCTTCCTACCAAGGCACAGGGATGAGCCTTTGGCTTACCTAGAATCTCTACTACACCTTCCTTTCTCCAAGACAACTCTATTTGTCTGGCGCCAGTGCAGGGATGTCAGCTTAGGTTGATGAGATAAAAAGGCAAGCACATAGTAATGTGAAAGGTCTTAGATACACCTGTATAAGGCAATGTACAACTAAGGCCCATTACCCAATAATCAAAGTTTCAGATTAATACTTTACTAATTTCTAGTGCCCATGACAATGACTGGCTATCTGGAAGATAGAGGATCTTAAGTGTAAAGGATTCCTAGCCAGGGAAGAAACAAGGAACTGGATGCTGCATCTCGTTTCTTTCTACCCACTGCAACCAAAATACAGCTAGGAAAATGTAGAATGTTTCAAGTTCTCTGAGCTCCTTCTCCCCACAAATTATGCAGCAAAGGATTTGCGTAATTCATAAAAATAAAGGGGACAGAGTGGGGATGAGGAAGTAAAGTTGCTGGAACATCGAATTTGCTATGACCCCAACAGACCCAGGGCCGACTGGTTTAGCCAGGACACTTTTGAATCAAACAGAAACCCGCAGCCTGCACTTGTGTTTTCTGTTGGCCACTGCTCACTAGTCCCTCCACCCACATCTGTATTTTCAACTTTTGACTCTTGTTACAGTATGAACAAAGGGAGAGAGAAAAAAGAAATAAAGGTATACGATAAAGTGCCATAAAGTAATTGCAGTATCAATTCCTAAATAGATCCCAGGCTTCTTACCGGCTTTCCTGCAGACTCCTAAGCATAAAATGTTTTCCTCTCCCCCTATGAGCCAGATGTAATTAGCACTTTGCTCCTTTCCTTTAAAGAGTGTGTGCTTCTCCTTACTTGTACAAGGGGGAAGGGAGAACAGGATGTTTACTTAAGAGCTGCTATCTCACTTGCAGGTGAATCTCTTGTGGCTTTGTCTATGAAGCCTTAATGAATTATTACTCAGCAATTGTGAACAGCAGGGGATGGGACTCGTCTATACAGTTACTCATAAGCAAGTATGAGAAACGCCCCAATACCCCAACACCCATTTGGATGGTGTTTATTACTGTCTACATACATGTGGGGTAACTCATCCCTCTTATGTAAGATTGGCTTAAATAAGACAATTTAGGGGGATGAAATTAGGCATTTTCAACACGCCCAGAAAGACCACTATAGAAGTCTAAAAGCTGTGGCTTCCTTGGAGATGGAGAAAGAAATCAGTTGGGCAAGTCAAGGTTCCAAGTGGGGACAAGAAAAAGGGTGAGCCAGATTCCAGAAGCAGCCAGTACAATTGTACACCCTATATATTGGGTGTGTTCCTAGGCTATTTCCTAAGTGTCTGGTGACACACGCATGTAGCTTCATGTAACGAAGGCTGCTATTTAAAGCCTTCTACCCTGCCACTGACCCAGGTGGGCTCTAGATGTGGTGACTCTTTCTTTATCCCTTAACACCAACATTCCATTTATTAAACCTCACTGGAGTATGAAAAAGGGATGGGGCAAGAGAGGGGTTAAGTGTGGCTTATGTATGACAGATTGCCAACATACAGCAAGACGGTTTGATATGGGCAAAGAATTGACCAGAAGGAACCTCTTACTACCACCGCCCCTGCCAACTCTATGCGTGCTTTTAATTTTTTTTTTTTTTGAGGGAGGTGGGCAGAGAATCTTAAGCAGGCTCTACATCCAGTGTGGATCCCAATGTGCGGCTCAATCTCAAAACCCTGAAGATCATGACCTGAGCCAAAATCAAGAGTTAGACACTTAACCGAGTCACCCAGGCGCCCCTTCTATGCTTGCTTTAAAAATGCTTCTTTGCTGGCAATTGTACAACTTTTTGAAGGCATACACAAATAATTATCCATACAGTATTATCCCGCTTCATTATCAACCACTCCTTGAACATGATTTCACCCCACCCACCATCCCTTTCCAAAAGTGAGTTACACAAAGGATCAAACAGAAAACCCACAAGGTCATGGAGATCTGAGAGGCTCAAATTGCCTTCAGGAACACTGAATGCTCAAGTCAAAGGGGACACCTGGATGAGATCAATGTGTGTGTGTGGGGGGA